CAGTTATGATAGATGCATTATTTGCCATGCTGAGTTGAATTTAGTTGGCACTTCAACTGTTAGTATGGACGATAAATATAAATTAGATGAACTCAAAACAAAGATAAACGAGATAATAGATAAAGCTAGAATATTCGAAGCCAAGGGAATGCAAGCAGCGAATGTCAAACAATTATTAAAGATTGCTAATAAGTTGAAAGGAAAATATAAAGAGCTAGAGCAAAAACTTGGGCAGCCGATATGCGATTTTTGTAAATATAAATTTCATATGATTGGATCTGATCCTGTAAAACCGTTTGAATTTTCTGAAGAAACTCTTTTGACGGAACCGTTTTTAAGCGGATTATATGAAAATATAAATGATTCAGTTAAACCACTAATGATAGGTGCGTCCATACTAAAGCAATCGGTGGAATCTGTGAAACCATACTCTGATGATGATGATGAGTTTTTAAAAAGCACAAATGACACCCAGATACTAATCAATTCGGAAGCTCCAAGTACCGTGAGATCATTAGAACCATTAACTTCAAGCACACATCATAGGAAAGTCTGGAAGATTTATGAACCAAATGCCAGTGCAACTACCTTAACTCCTCACAGTACTAGAAATGATATTTTCAAAAATAATAGTTCCATAGATGACGATAATGATGAACAAAGTATCTATGAAACAACTTCGGAAATCATGATGCGAATGCCAGCTATGATAGATCCTGCAACACAGTCCTATATATCGCTGTCCAGTGACGTTTCAGGTGATGCAGATTTTGGCGATTGTTACATTCATTACATAAATAATGACAGTGAAGTTGAATCCGCAACTACGCTAGAAGAACTTGTTGATACTGATAATAGTGACGAAGTTTCTCGCAAACCTCTGTTTAGTTGTAATGTCGAAAAATACCACCAAGCAGACGAAAACAATGATAATGATGATACAGAAAAAGGCAGTCATATACACATTAATGCAAAGATTTCCAAAAGGAATTTAACATGCAATTGTGAAGTGAAAGATGAAGATACGAAAGATAATACGGAAGTTGAGGAAGTGTTGGATTAAAGTACGTTTTATTTTACCCTGAAGAATGCTCAGAAATCAGAAAATCATAATTATAAACATCGTATAAGAAATGCATAATCAACAATTACGAACAGTTGGAAGTTCTTCCTATATTTTAAAAATTCATCGTTTTGAACACCGAATAGTCCTTAGAAGATAGGGTGGTTTACGGCAGCTGTAAAATATAAAATAAATATATAAAAAATAAAATCTTGTTTACACAGACGAGAACAAGTTTTCAAAAAACTAATCATACCAAGAGTGAGGGTGACCATTGCATTCATTCAATTCGAACTCGACGAATTAGCAAGAGAGGAATTATTTAGAATTAAAAAAGTAAAGAAAATGAAATCATCATTAGTAGGAAACACGACTGTCAAGAAAAAATCATCTCAATTCAAATTGGAACCACAAAAACCTGTAAGTCAATCTAAACTTGCAACTCCACCAAAAGTTGCAAGTCAACCGAAATTTGCAACTCCACCTGCCACGCCTAAACATGGAACAGTCGTTCAAGGAAAACCTTGTGTGGTCTGCGGCGGTGGCATGGTTAAAGAAGTAACAGTTTTCGACAAAGACACTGAGGAAAAATTAAAAATATTAAGAAAACTACTCCATGAAATCATGAACATGACCAGATCGTTTGAAGATTCCGGTTTATGTGGGCCCAAAATCAGTGAAGTTTTTAAAGCATCCGAAGATGTTAAAACGAAAATTGATCATTATTTCGATAAAAGAGACGTAACTGTAGATGATCTAAAATGTAATATGGCTAGGCTAAGGGTTCTGTTGCAAGAACTTAAGAAAACAGTTCAAGTTACAGACAAAAGTCCACATCTAGGCAAGCTCTGCCAAAAATGTGCGGAATTTGAAAAAACGTTAAACCAATGCTGTTGTTTTAAAGAAACTGAAACAAAAGTCACTAAGCCGAATGAAACTGTGTCACATGAAGTCAAAACTCCCCACAGTTTCCTATATAACGAATTTTTCAAACGAAAGTCTGTTATAGTACCTAAATTGCAAATACCAGATTACATGATTAAATCCCAGGCTATCGTTTTACCATGTTGTCATACTACAATAGAAAGTGAGAAAATTTCCTCGAGCGCTCGTCTAATTGAATTTGAGAAACACGTCGATGAAGTCATTGCTATGACAAACTGTTACAAGCAACAAGGCTTGTTGACTCCAAGTGCAACAGAGTTTTTAGAGTCATGCAAAGCTGTGAAGTTCAAAATTGCAAATCATAAAATCCAACAAGAAAACAAAATAAAGCTAAGACAGTTAAAAGAGAATGTAGCAAAATTAGAAGCGATATCTTGTCTCGTTCAGAGAGAAGATTTAGATGACACTAACATAATGAGTTTTATGGTACGTTGTAGACAATTCAAAGAAAAGTTAGAAGGGCGCAGACCATATCGTGATTACAGTCTAGATAAACTTGTCCGTGAAATTAATGATAGCATAATGCTGACAAATGAAGTTAAAAAAGAAGGTTTGGTTAGTGAATGTGTCGATGATTATATCAAAAGCTGTGAAGTTATAAAAGCAAAACTTACATCTCAAGAAACCCTCGTAGACAAAACAAAAGGATGTAGTAAGTTAGACAATTTAATACTTCAGATAACAAATATATTGTCAGCTATAAAAACATATAAAGATGAAGGAATGTTAACAAAGAGTGTGGACGAGTTTTACAAAACTTGTTTAGCTACTAAAGCGAAATTAGATCAGTGTAAGCAGATAAAAATATCAACTTGCGAATGTGCCCAAAAAGAATTAAAAGATGATTCATGTGACTGTTCTAAAAAATGTGTCACAAAGAAACCAAGTAACCTACAATGTAAATCGCCTCCGGTTCAAGTAATAAGATGCCACTCCGAAGCTCTAATACCAATTTGTCATTCCAATGCAGTCTTACCACCATGTGGTTCTAAAGTTCAAGTTGAGCCTTGCCGTTCCATGTCACCGATCTGTAAAACTAACACTACAAAACTCCCAGTAAATACATTACCACAAACTTGTCATTCCAATACAGTCTCACAATCATGTTGTCCTAAAGTTGAAGTTGGGCCTTGCCATTCCATGTCACGGATTTGTAAAAGTAACACTATGAAACTCCCAGTAAAAACATCTTCACATACACCCGGAGGTTTGAAAGTTTCCATCACAGAGAACACAAGTAAAAAAGATGGCACCAAACCGTGTTTTACTACTTCCAAAAATTCTTCGACACCCTGCAAGCCTGGTAAAAGCTGGGAACAGACGTCAAAAGCATCAAAAACATCCAGTGGATCTAGTTTCTTAACCCGAACTAATTCAGAAAAATCACTAACAAACGTATGCGAATCATGCTTTGCAACACTGAAAAAGTCATCACCGATGTCAGTTAAGACAAATTTGAAACCTGAAGAAAAAGGTTACTATGAGAAGCAAATCAGTAAAACAAAAACGATAAAGAGGTTCAGAGAGAAGGATGGAACGATAAAGAAGAGTTGTGAGACTGTTGTTACAAAGAAGAAGAAGTATGATCCACAACGAACGACAACATGCACAGACGTGTTCGACTACGAATCTTCTTGTGATTCAGTTAAGAGTGCAACGCAAGTTAATTTATGCGAGATACCACAGACGAAAGGGTTTATACAAACTGTGAGACCTGTTAAATCTGAGACTCTGATTCGAACACTTGACTTGAGTTTTGATAACCCCATAGTATGGTCTAGTATTTCAGAGGACAGTGTGATATTTAAGAGGAAAAATGAAGAAGAATTTTTTGGTTTCTGTGATCCCTATTTCTGTGCCACGACTCCTAACAGTCGCGATTCTCGTATGATTTTTCCGATTTGACGTACTAGTTACTGCATTTACTAATCAATTCTAAGTCACTGAAACAATTTTAATGGATGTAAAATTTCAATAAATAATGTTTTCTGCATATTTTTTGTTTGAGTTTTTTAGTTTTTTATTTAAAATATCATGGTTAGATTAGCATTAGGATTAAAATACTTATGGACAAAGTAGGAACTTCAGTTTTCCTTGCTTAAAATTGCTTGTTATATCTGTAGGGCACACTGTTTTCTTTCCCTTTTCCTCGTTTATAGAAATTTCTCTCTTCACATTTGCATTTCTTTTTGTCCTCATCTCAAAATTTCTCCTCTACTATATTGACTGCACGGTGCGGTGGGTGGGCAACCGGCTGCCGCTTCCGTGCAGCAGATTCGATTCCCGCACGGAGCAGCTCTTTGTGTGATCCTAAAATTGTTGTTTCGGGTCGAAGTTTCTTGTGTATGTATTGTGTACTTGTATGTTGGTAAATGCACCCAAGATACAGCAGAAAATACTAGTGCAGAGCAACGTTTCTTAAAAAAGTAAGAAAAGATATGGCAGTCGCCTATAAATAACTACAAAAAAAACAAGATATTACTAGATTTATTTAAATTAATATCATTAAGTATCTTAAAGTAACAACAACACCAAAAACAACTCTAACGCCTGAGTACTGAAAGGTTACTAGTTTTAAATTGTACTTAGATATAGCACTATCTCTGTCATTTTACAAAGAATTTGTAGAGACAGAACTATTTTGAGAGCGTCTTAAAATTGAGTGATGTTTGAGTACTTGAACATTAATCTTTGATTTCAAATGTCATCAAGACAATATTAGAGAGAAACGCATTTTTTGCCAATAAAATTCTCGTAATGTGAATAAGAAAAGAGCCTAGCTTCTTTACACACTATAATTATCTGCATTAAGTATCTCCGCAGAAAGTAAAACGCGTTAGTCTAGACTTTTCAAATTTATCGTTTGATGTTCACTAAAATTTTTGATCCAAACGGTAACAAGGTAAAATTAATAATAAATTATAGAGAAAAGGGTGAGTTCAGCGGAATAACACATTAAAACAGAATGTCAACGAAAGATTTGTATCCACAGGAAACAAAACGTACTGTCAAGATGCATTATACCAAGGATCCTTATAACAATGCATTACATTCTATCTGAACTGGACGAGAGAGAACGAGAAGAAACATTCAGATTAAAACGATTCAAACAACTCAAATACAAAGGCAAAAAAGATGACAAAACAGAACCGAAAGAACCTGGAAAAGAAGCTATTGTACCTCCTCCTGTTCCTCCTCCTGCTCCTCCTCCTGCTCCTCCGTGTCAAGTATGCGGTGTAGAATCGCCACCGGCTGAAGCTGAATACATTGAAGATGAATACATTGAAGCTGAATACATTGAACCTGAACTTGAACCTGAATTTGAACCTCAACTTGAACCTAAACTTGAACCTAAACTTGAACCTAAATTTGTACCTAAACTTGAACCTAAACTTGTACCTAAACCTGTACCTAAACATGTACCTGAATTTGTACCTGAAAAAGTAGGTTTCAAAGAGAGTATTTGTAGCTGTCATATCCCTCAAATTGAAGTAAAAGATGATGAACAAGTTTGTCCTCTGTGCCATCTTGCCGAAGATGACGATTCTAAATTACGTGTAGGGACATGTACGCAAGGTCCCCCAAGAACTGCTCCTCCGAAGGCTCGCTTGGAACATCTTATGGCACACATAAACCAAATAATAGAATTAGTAAAACAATTAGGAGCTGGACAACAATTACCGTGTGGAAAAAAAGAGAATATTATAAAGTGTTGTGAATCAATGAAATGTAAAATTGAACAATTATCGTCTCCTCCACCTCCGTGCGACTTTTGTATGGATGCTGCACAACAATCGGAGCAACCAGTACCAGGACCGGTTCCAGTACCAACACTGCCACCAGCACCAAAATCGCCACCAGTGCCGAAATCGCCACCAGCACCAAAATCGCCTCCAGTGCCGAAATCGCCACCAGTGCCAAAATCGCCACCAGTACCGCTACCAATTTCGCCTTGTATGTCTGTCCCTGAAAGCGTAACATGCTCTTGTGTACCTTCAATATGCAGTAAGCTAGTACCATCAGTAAAGTCATCAAGAATTACACCGCCATGCCGTCCGCCACCAGAAATACCATCCCAACGGTCAGTATTGCCGAAAAGTTCAAAATTGTCAAAACAAAAACACAAATTAGGTTATTTCGAAACAGAATATAAAGAAATTATTAGGGTGACGAGGTCGATGAACCCCGACGGTACATTGAGCGAGGAGAGGCAAGTTATAACAGTGAAAACTGAACGAACAAATCCCCGGCGTAAAAAAAGTAATGAGTATGACGATGAAGGTTACTCTACCCCTTGTCGAAGAAGTGACAGCGATTACGGTAGTGGTGGGGGTGGGGGTGGTTTTAGCGGTGGTGGTGGCTGTTGTGGAGGTGGGGCACCTCCTGATGATAACAGATCTTGTAAAGATGGTGGCACTTGTAAGTCTGGAACATTCGAACGCCAAGGAGGTAGTGGTGGAGCCGGTGGTTCTCAAAGAAGCACTGGCGGGGATGGTACGGACGGAAAAGAATGTAAAGCTGGTGGTGGAAGTGCCCGTGGATTAAACACCCAGTCTTCCTGTACAGAGGGAGGGTTGTGTCGAGCCGAAAGTGTACGTCTTACTGCAATCGACTACACTATTCAATCGGATGTGGCTGGATCATGTGGTGTTTGTAAAGTTTCCAGTGCATCAATGCCTAAAACTCCTTCAGCAGCACTACCTATAACCGCTACTTATGCACCTCCTAGTGCATCTATTTGTAATGCCAGTGCTCCTCTATCAGCAACTTCTTGCGCTACACCCTGTTCAGCAACTGTTAAATATGCTCCCTGTGGTACACCACAAACAACACCAGCTAAACCTGTTCCCTGTGGTGTTTTACCAACAGCACCAGCTAAACCAGCACCCTGTGGTGCTCTTCCAACATCACCAGCTAAATCTGCTCCCTGTGGTGCTCCACCATCAGCATCGGCTAAGTCAACTCCCTGTGGTACTCCATCAACAGCATCAGTTAAATCAGCTCCCTGTGGTGCTCCTCTAACAGCACCAACTAAATCTGCCCCCTGTGGTACTCCACCAACAGCACATAAATCTGCTCCCTGTAGTGGTTCTTCAACACCATCAGCTAAATCTGCTCCCTGTAGTGGTTCTTCAACACCAACAGCTAAGTCTGCTCCCTGTGGTGCTCCTCCAAAAGTACCAGCTAAATTTGCTCCCTGTGGTACTCCACCAACAGCACATAAATCTGCTCCCTGTAGTGGTTCTTCAACACCATCAGCTAAATCTGCTCCCTGTGGTGCTTCTCCAACAGCATCTGCTAAATCTATTCCCTGTGGCGCTTCTCCAACAGCTGCTAAATCTGCTCCCTGTGGCGCTTCTCCAACAGCAGCTAAATCTGCTCCCTGTGGCGCTTCTCCAACAGCAGCTAAATCTGCTCCCTGTGGTGCTTCTTCAATAGCAGCTAAATCTGCTCCCTGTGGTGCTTCTCCAACAGCAGCTAAATCTGCTCCCTGTGGTGGTTCTCCAACAGCAGCTAAATCTGCTCCCTGTGGTGGTTCTCCAACAGCATCTGCTAAATCTATTCCCTGTGGCGCTTCTCCAACAGCAGCTAAATCTGCTCCCTGTGGCGCTTCTCGAACAGCTGCTAAATCTGCTCCCTGTGGTGCTTCTTCAATAGCAGCTAAATCTGCTCCCTGTGGAGCTTCTCCAACAGCAGCTAAATCTGCTCCCTGTGGTGCTTCTCGAACAGCTGCTAAATCTGCTCCCTGTGGTGCTTCTTCAACGGCAGCTAAATCTGCTCCCTGTGGTGCTCCTCCACCTGCACCAGCTGTATGTGGTTTCCGTGGTCCTCCTCCGATTCCACCAGCTATATGCCGTACCTGTGGTCCACTTCCAACTGCACCTTGCGGTGCTCCATCGACTGCTCCTTGCGCAATTCCTAAAAAGGCCATTTGTCCGCCGCCTCGTAAACCTTTACCTTGCAGTGCTGGCGGGATTTGTAGCAATGAAGCACCACCGGCCGGTACAAGGGTCCCTAGTATGCGTTACTCTATGGGAATTTTTGACCCCAGTGAGGGTGTCTACAAATCGTGTGGCGCTAGTGCTCAAAGTAGTGTGCCAAGTGTTAAAACTTGTAAGTCAAATACAGATGGTGGAGTTCGGAAGACCTGTTTAGCTGACAACGCCTCGAAAGCATCGAGATCCAGTGTTGTCATTAAAACATGCAAAGATTGTGGCGTCTGCACGATCAGAGACAATGCAGATAGTGGGTACAACACTGCCGGTACCAGTATCACTAGTGGGTCCGTATGTACCTGTGACAAATGTAAAACTGGTGTGGGTTGTGGGTCTCATTGCGTTATAACTGAGTACGTAACTAGCATTTGCCAGAGTGGCGAAGACGGCCCAGATGTCATCAGAAAAGACCGTCGCACTATTGGATGTGGAAGCTCTTTCTACCACACGACGACCTTTGGTTTCAACCCACTTCCACTAGGTTTCTCCTACCCACCACACGGGCCTCCAGCTACTAAAAGCACATCCACGTCAATAAAACATTATAACAACATTGAATCGACGAGTGGGTGCGCATGTAAGGCTAATACAGGGACAGATAGGAAGGTGACTTCAATGACCACGAGTGATTCTTCTTCAGTCGCTTCCAGCTATCGACCTCCTATTGCAGAACTGCGGGACTTTTATTGCGGAACCGATGCACCAATATTCACGAAAGCTGTGTCAGCATCTACATCTGCACAATCCTGCTGGAACCCTTTGGTTAAGAAAATGTGCGATAAAGGCACTTTTTGTATTCCTGATTGCAGTACCAAGCCCGGCGTTGGTAATGTCAATGAATCTGTAGTCGGCACAAGTCTTAAAAGAGGTGGAGAGCTAATAATACCGACTCCTTGCTCTAGTGACGCGAGTAAAAATATTAGAGTTAGGTCTTTGACCAACACTAGCTACTCCACTGAGATGACTAAATCACCAACATCGGGTGTTAGTGGAAATCGGTGGTTGGAAAATAAGGATGATAATAACGACCTATTACTCAAAGGGTGCACGCTGTATGCACTGAGAAAAATGCTAATGCCGAGAAGTATATCGACACAATGTAGCGAGATGACTTTAGTATCCGCGGTGGATTCTATTTGTTCGTGTTATCACTCAAAATCGGCGAAATCGTGCCAGAAATGTTCAATGCCATTACGAAACAATCCTACGTGCTACACGTATGTTCAATTGCGTGATTTCGACTTGGAAGACGAAACATGTGTCTCTTGTGGAACCCTTGGACAATTATCTACTCCATCTGCATGTACGTTAACTGAGAACACGGTTATCCCTTATAATACGTCGCAAAAGAGTAACAGCTTGTTCTCTGAGTGTAAGTCTATGTGTGCAGCTATAGCAAAGCAGATAAGAACTAAGTGTGGTACACCTCTGCCACAAGAGATCTGCTGTCCAAAGCCAGGTGCTGTGAAAACAGTAAAAGTCATACCAAAACAGATTCCTATGCTTGTTGATGCCTATACATCTACAAAACGTAGCGACAGATTCGATTGTAGACCCTTAGTGGTTTTCAAAAAGAACCACACGTGCGCGAAAATTCGAAAGAAGGTTTGTGCGTGCCATTCTGATTCTCATGTCTGTAAGAACGTCAAAACTCGTGCCGTGTTACAGAATAGCAAATCCTGCAGTTCTGATCTATACACTGATTATCCCTGTTATTGATATACACTGAAGTATTAAATATATTTTAATAGTAACTATTAGTACAATATGATGTTCTCCATTTTAACGCAACAAAGTCAAATACAAATATTCTAAACGAACGTTTTATTTTATTGTTTATCTAACACTAATTACTTCCGCGAGGTTTACCCGCTCTGCTCGGCTGCTACTGATCCTAGCGTGAAGTTTTATAGCCTACTAGCTTCTGCCCGCGACTTCGTACGCGTACCATCCCATTTTTTCCCGTCCCCGTTCGTGATTTTCGGAAAAAAGTAAAAAAAAAAAATTTTTGTTTAAAAAGTATCCTATGTCGGTCTCCTGGCTCTAAGTTACCTCCATACCAATTTTCAGCCAAATCTATTCTGCCGTTCTTGAGTTATAAGTGGTATAACTAACACGACTTTCTTTTATAATATATAGATAGCCCTCTTCAATAAATGGACTATCCAGCCGAATATAATATTCCAAATGGACCAGTGGTTCCTGACATGAGCGCGTTCAAACGATCACAGAAACTCTTTAGCTTTATATTATACTAGCAGCCCGTCCCGACTTCGCACGGGGTAGACAATTATTTATTTTTGGAAATTTGGATTGTTGTAGTGACATAACTACAATAGTTGGACATTTGCTGTCGCGGAGATTTTTGTAGACATTATGATGTTCTTCAATATTGTTATACATTATTTTGTTCTATCGCTAATAGTTTCGGCAGCGCATTCGACGAAAGACATTTTAAGACTCATTTTTGTACACCTTCGGTTACATTGTTCAAAGTTTACCAAGGATCCCTAATTTTTTTCAAAATTCAATTTAGCCTATGTCAAATTGGAAGAATGTAGCATTCTATTGGTGAAAGAATTTTTTAAATCGGCCCAGTACTTTTTGAGCCTATTCATTACAAACATACAAACATATAAAAATAGGTACAAATCTTTCCTCTTTATAATATTAGTATGTCTATACTATATAATCTTTCTGTCCACGCAATCCCGTTTTCTCCCGTTCCAGGACTTCCAGGTTCCATTTTCAGGACTTGTTTCTGTCATAAGAACGTTCTCCTGACAATAACAAATACAACAAAAAAAATCAGCCAAATCGGTCTAGCCGTTTTTAAGTTATGGCGTGACAATGGGGAACGGGTTTCATTTTTATATATGTGTATAGATAAAAATAATAGTGCAGAAGGTTTCACTAACTAGGACATACTTTTAGTGTAAGGGGTGAATCAACGAATGATTTCTCCCGCCTGGGTGAGGCGGGAGGGAGTGTCAGACTCTTACTGACTAAAAACCACCCCGTTTCTGCTCCTGAATTTCGAGCCGGAGCTCGGGCAACCCGTTAAGTCCTCTGCGGCTCCGTATCAATTCAATAGGATTAGACCTGCATTGAGTAAGCATGGTGATTCATTGTCAAATCCTCTCCGTGTAAGAGGAGACCTTTGGTCAGCAGTGGCCACTTATAGACTGTTGTTGTGTGATAATAGGATTAGAAAAGAGTTTCACTTGCGTCAATATAAATAAAGCAACTGAAGTATATTAAAAAGAAACCAAAAATGCTAAATTGAAAACACGTAACAGTGATTAACGATTCAATTTTAGATCTTCCTTGTCGCTGCAGAAGGACTTTTTGAGGGGGTAATATCATCCAATGACTTCTCCCACCTTAGGTTAGGGGAGAGGAAGTGTCAGACTCTTACTGACTAAAAACCACCCCGTTCCTACTCCTGCTCTTCGAGCCGGAGCCCTGGCAACCCGTTAGGCATGCCGCAGCTCCGTATCAGGCATCAGTCCTACTGGGCCCCATCTGTGGCGGTCTGATGGCTCTTTGAGGCACTACTATAGACATAGGCTTTCTTATAGCGCGCTACTCAGCTCTATGCATCCAACCACTGCCAGCCGTACAGCAGAAATCTTCACTCCACCGTACTGATGGGGCTCTAAACTACGTTTGAGTTTATCATTAGATTCATTTACAGTATAAGAAGATATGAGGTTAGATAGGCCCAGATGGAAATGAAAGTGGACTGTTTTTCAAAGATATATATTAGGTGTTGTACAATAGTCTAAAGTTATAATAAAATCATGCGATCATGATCGCGTTGTTGTAAGGAGTGTTGACAGCGCACGGCTTTATTTTGAACTAGCTGTTGCCCGCGACTTTGTCCGCGTAGAATATAAATTTTAGGACATTTGTTTTGTTTCAATTTTCCAAAATAAAAGAAGGCACCTAGCCTATGTCACTCCTTAGTACTTCAGCTAACTACCAAAAGTTCCCTCAAAATCGGTCGAGCCATTCCAGAGATTAGCCAGTACAAAAATATAAAAAAATAAACAAAAGAAAAAAAGCAAATAACATACTTTTACAATGTCTGTCTGTTTGTTTATTAGTAAAAAGCGTACATAATATTACAAACAGACGCTACAATTTGATTCATCTGTATAGATTTATCCGAAAAACCTATAATAGGTGGTATCTCTATTCAGTTATTATTCAGTTTTTGTCAGACTCTCACGACGAACAAATGAAACTAAACGACAAACTCACTGTGAGTATGTCTGAACAGTCCGTCAAGAGCAAAGAATTTGATCGAAAACTAGTTGAACTCGATAAAAATCTTCTCCAAATACAACAGCATGCCAGAGATTCTAATATTGAAATTCAAGGAGTACCTGAACATAAAAGTGAAAATCTACTTAACATAATTAATCAGATCGCTAAAACCGTATCGTATAACCTGCAAGACACCGAAGTTAAGTCGTTTCACAGGGTCTCGAAATTGAATCCGGAGTCAAGCCGTCCTCGCAACATTGTAGTCAAGCTAAGCAGCCAACGTAATCGTGATAATTTTTTGGCATCAGTCAAAATGTTTAACAGGACTAGCGATAATGTCAAACTGAACAGCACGCACATTGGTTTCTCTGGCAATAAACAAGCTATCTTCGTAACCGAGCATTTATCTCCAGAAAATAAAAAACTACACGCTGCAACTAGAATGGCTGCTAGGGAGAAAAATTACAAATTTGTGTGGGTACGGAACAGTCGCATTTATGTTCGCAAAGAAATTTCATCTGATCACAGAATAATCAAATCACTAGATTGCTTGGCCAAGCTGTAATATTCACATATTATTGTAATTAACTATAATCCTAAATTAATGTTATTAAAATTCGAACTAAACATATATTACCAAAACGTCCGAGGCTTGAGAACCAAGACGGAAGACTTTTATCTAGCAGTATTGAAAAACACCTATGATCTAATAGTCGTAACAGAGTCTTGGCTTAATGACACGGTGTTTGACTATGAATTGTTATCATCGCTATAATGTATTTAGGCGTGATAGGTCTTCCACTAGATCCTATATAACTAAAAGGGACGGCGGAGGTGTGCTAGTTGCAGTTCTTAAATCATATGAAGTTTTAAGAATGAATTCCTGGGAGTCAACATGCGAGGATTTGTGGCTTAGCTTAAAAATTGGTAAGACTGTAGTAAATATCTGTGGTGTATATATGCCTCCCCCCATTACTCTTGAGTATACTGAAGCTTTTCTTCAAAATGTAACCCAAGTTGTTCACAGTGATGGAAATAATTGTGCCAAAGCTAACACTGAGCGTCTATTCCTTATCGTTGGAGATTTCAATGCGAGTGATATAGAATGGCATATAGATCCTGACTCTTCTCAATTGGCTCCCATTGCACCTGATGGTGCGCTTCATCATATCTTTATCGACTCCTTAGCTTTTTGTAATTTGCACCAACACAATCATATAACCAATACTAATGGGCGAGTTCTCGATCTGGTGCTGCGCAATGGTTCAGCCAATATACAAGTTTCGCCAGCTGGTAGTTGCTTAGTTCCACCGGATCCACACCATCCTCCATTACATATCGAAGTACAGACAGCAAAAGAGAGTTACGTTAGACCTTGTTCCGCTCCAACTTACAATTTTCACAAATGCGATTATGAAGCACTGAACAATGATCTGGAGCTGGTTGACTGGTCTAATCTACTCCAGTGCTCGCTGTCTGTGGACGAGATGGTAGACATTTTTTACAACACGATCAATCCTATAATCAGTGATCACACCCCGCTCCGCAAACAGCGAAATGATAACTATCCCGTATGGTTTAGTAAAACATTGCTGAAGGCGTTAAAAGAAAAACGGAAATATCACTCTAGGTATAAAAAATATGGTAATCTCATGGATAAACTGCAATACAATATCACCAGGAACCGGTGTGATGCATTGATCTCAGAATGCTATTCAAATTTTAAGAAACAGTCTGTTAATCACCTGAAAATCAATCCAAAATACTTCTGGAAAATTTTCAAAGATAGACAGTCTAATAGTATTTCTCTACCCAACAAAATGATTCTGCATAACGAAACAGCTAGGGGGGGTCAGGAAATTTGTAACTTATTTTCTAAACATTTTCAAAGTGTTTACACTTGCAATAGTAATCTTAATTGTAATAGTTCTTCCTCCCAGTATAACGATTGGAACGGACCAATATATAACAATATAACAGTTACTGAAAATGAAGTCTTAAATAGGTTGAAATCCCTAGATATACACAAAGGACCGGGTCCAGATTCTATTCCACCTATCTTCCTAAAGAAATGTGCTCACAATATAAGTAAACCGTTAACAATAATTTACAATAAATCGTTACAGACTGGTACTTTTCCTACACGATGGAAAATTGCACATCTAACGCCCATCCACAAAGGAGGCAGACTGGACGATGTTGCTAAATATCGTCCAATCTCTATTTTATCTGCATCTGGTAAGGTGTTGGAAGCAATTGTCAATAGAAAGCTTTTGAATCATTTCCAACAATACATTGACTCAAATCAACACGGCTTCCTACCTCGTAAATCTACCAACACAAACTTAGTAAGTTATGTGTGCGATATTGTAGATGTGATGGATGGTGGCGGTGAGGTACATGCAGTGTACGCAGATCTCAGGAAGGCATTCGATTTGGTTAACCAC